AATGTTGAGTATAACTCCTTGGCAGAAATTAATCTTGCTTGAGGAAAAGGAGGAGGAAGAAAAAGAGGGAGGGGCTGGGAAAGTGGCTCAGTGGTAGAGTGCTGGCCTTGCATGCATGAGGCCCTGGGTTCGATTCCTCAGCACCATATAAGCAGAAAGAAAAAAGCCCAAAGTGGCGCTGTGGCTCAAGTGGTAGAGTGCTAGCCTTGAGCTGAAGAGCTGAGGGACAGTGCCCAGGCCAAGAGTTCAGGGACCATGACTCGACCCCCCCCCAAAAAAAAAAAGTCAATCGAAAAAGAGGGAGAGAGGAAGAGAGGGAGAAGAGTGAAGAAGAGAGAGAGGAATATAAGGCAAAAGTAGAACAGAAATAAGCAAGCATTTATTTTACACAGAGCTTTTTTTGGTAGATTAATTCAAAGTGCTTGTTCTTTTTCTCCCTCCCTTTTATTCTCCTTTCTTTCTTTTCCCTCTGTGCTAGGGACCAAACCCACGGCCTTGTAAACATTAAGGAAACATTCTACTACTACTACTGTGCTACATTCCCATCCATGATTGTTCTCTGCTGCTGCTGCTTCTTCTTTTTTTTTTTTTTCGGTCCCGTCGTGGGGCCTGAACTCTGGTCCTGGGCACTGTCCCTCAGCTCTTCAGCTCAAGGCTAGCACTCTACCACTTGAGCCACAGTGCCACTTTTGGTTTTTTTCTTTTTGCTTATGTGGTGCTGAGGAATCGAACCCAGGGCCTCAGGCATGCAAGGCAAGCGCTCTACCACTGAGCCACCTTCCCAGCCCCATGCTGCTGCTTCTTTTTAAGTGTGTGTGTGTGTGTGTGCGCGCGCGCACGTGTGCACATGCTAGTACTGGAGTTCTGAACTCAGGGCCTCGAGCTTTCATTTGCTTTTTCTGCTCAAGGCTGGCATTCTACCGTATCTCTACTTCTGCCTTTTTGATGGTTATTGAAGAGTCTTAGACTTTTGCCTGTGCTTGTTTTGAACCTCAATCCTCAGATCTCAGCCTACTAAGAAGCTAGGATTACAGGCATGCCACAAGTGTGGGGTCTACTATATCAAGGCTAGCATCGAACTTGTGATTCTTATACTTTCAGCCTCTTGAATATAGGGACTGAAGGTATGAGCTAGCTTATCGGGCTTCTTTTCTTCTTTGTTTCCCTCCTTAGACATAGCTAGAAACAAAGACTAATCGATGCTGCAAATTTATGATCTATTGTAATACTTTGGTTCCAATTGGTGAGGAAGGGAGATAGAAAATTAAGACAGTTTTAAATGATGCTTAACATTTTCAGTTCCAAGTTCAATCAGCATAGTCATCAGCTGACATTTACCCTGAACCCTTTGGGTGAATGGCATAGTACCAGATCCCACAAGGAATATTATTTTCTGCCTATATGAGCAAAGTGGCTCTTAAGCTATTGTGCTCAGAAACTATATGTAACAGTTGAGGTTAATGTTATTACATTACAGCCTTGGAATCATGAGATTAAAATATGAAAAATCATATAACAAAATTTTTTTTGAAATAGAAACTGTATGTTGCTTTTTGTGTTGAACAAAGAAGGCACCGTCAAATGCAGTGAATTACAGTTAAACACTAAACATATGCACTAATCACTAAATATTAATATTTTACCAAATGTTATTTTAATATGAAACAATGGAATTTTATTTGATTAACATTGTATAAATAATACAAGATAGATTTTCTTTGACAAGTGAAAATAAGATGAATTGATTCGAAGAGTATCAAGTAAAATCTTAAATAAGTGGTTGACTCCTCCATTGAAAATTCAAACACAAAGAAATCTTGGTGGATTAAAATGTCAAAAATTTGATTAAAATCTATTTGTACCTGACCTTCAAGGATAGTATCATATTTAGTATTAAGCCATCTTTCAGTCTACATTAAGTATCTCTTTTAAGTAAGGTCAGAGTTTAAGTAAAATTCCCCAGTAGTCCTCCCTCCATTCATCAGTCTTCCTCACCCCAGTCTCTTTCTTTCAGTGGGGTTCCTATTGCTTACTACTACTCAGCCATCACTATTGTAATGCCATTTAAGGTAGCTCTGCTGGGTGTATTCATTCTGTCCCACAATCCAGTTTCTCTTTTAACCTGGTTTCCTAAATGAAGTTGACAAACCAGTTTATTTTTCCTCCTTTTCATTTCAACCACTTCTGATTTAGGCTGGTTATGAGGATATAATGTAATCTGGGCACAACCTCTTCCCCTAGCAATCTGTATTTGCAGGGCTTCCTCCTTTCCCAGCTGAACGTGCTCAAGTGGGCAGAGTACCTTGTGGAGGACTTCAGCCCCCACAGTTCCCTGTGTGCGCATGCCCTCTCATCTTACAGTTGTCAAAGTGCTTTTGCCAGAGCGGTCACATAATCAACCTGAAAGAAGAAAATAAATATTGTACACGTTAAATTTTTATCGATCCTTAAAAACTGGACACTCAAAGGTAACTGTTACTACGAATTTGTTACTTGAAATTGGGTGAGTGCATGTAAAAGACGATCTATTGTGTGTTCGGTGGGGGGAGGGGTGGAGAGCTCTATTTTTCAGACTTTGCTGCAAATAAGCGAAAAATCTTCAAATCAATCAAACTGTACAGGCTGTTATTGAGAGATAAGGCATATTAACTTTATAAATTTTGTCTTAACCCATGGCTTACCTTTTGTTTAAAAGATCTTAATTACTAAATGTGGCTCTTGACCTTGACAGAGTGAATTTATACAGAAAGTGAAATTTGTATCTTTAAAATGTGCTGAGAACAGGAATGAATGGTCTTGTTCTAGCACTTAAAAATTCAATAAGTATGTTAATATTAGTTGCAGCCATTATAAAATATTGTGAGTCCAGCTTACTTTTGAGGATTTTTTTCTCCATAGTACAGCATTAATTTTTCCACCAAGAACATGTAGCTTAAATTAAACACATTAACAAGCAGCAAGACAAAGCTAGGTGATACTAAAATTATAATCAAATGCATTTTCAGCCATGATGATATGTCTGTCTATTATAAAGAGAATTCTAGCTCACTGGAAGCAAGTCAAATTTCAGAATTATAATGCTTTACTGCAGCACTATTTAAACCAACTATGAAAATTTCTCTATGCCATTTTTTTTTTTTTGGCAATGATAGAACTCTGTGCTGTCTGTATCCCAGGTTCATTTATCTCTTTGTGTTGTATTTTACAATACAGATCAAAGCCATTGTTTTAGATCAGGGAACATAGAAACATAAAGGCAATCTTAAGTAGGTTTTAGTGGTAGTAGCTGCTAATTCATTATGTATATTTTGGGGGTTTTTTTTAGGGGAAAGGGAGATGCATGGGTGTGAGGAGGAGAGTAAGGTGGTTGTGTAGCATTTGAGCATGCTAATTTTTTATATGAAACTTTGAAATGGAAGATATCTGTTAAGCATTTTAATGCCAGTTTTTAATAAAATGGAACTACCTTTAATCTAGTTTCTTGGTCTGACATCCTTTGTGTAATAGTTAATAGCACTACTATCTCCATTTTACAACAATTATCATAAGCAGGTCCAAAGGCAGAGATGTGTATCTGGATGCCCTTTCATAAATGTCCTGAGAAAGATGCTTTTCCAGTACATGAGTTAATTAACTATATGAAATATATTAATAACTTGGTTGCAATTGTACTGAATCATCATCTAAAAATAATTATATGTTTGGTCATATGCTCCTTTAACATTTCAAAATATTTGTTTTCAGGGCCACAGGCCTTTAATATTCATATATTTAAAGCAACTAACATGTACTAAGAGACAAGCTAACTTGGTGATAAGTACATGTATAAAAACCTGATTTTGAGTGATTACTATTTTCATCTTTGCATAGGAAAACAGGCTGTATGACAGAGGTGAATATAGCCTTTCTATGCGAAATGGAAAATACCATGCATTCCTTATATGGCTAAATGAAGCAGAGATGGCACTGCACTATAATTACAGTGTATGAGAATTTGGGAATTTGTACTCCTCTATTTTTAACACTTTTGCTAGCATATGGTAATTCGGGGTCGTCAAACCATAGTCTTTCACTGTTAATACTGTTGATAAAAGAATGGGTTCTAAATTTGCCAAAGTCTTGTGATCAAGGCAGCAGCAGGAGGATTCAAAAACGAAAATCTGGCAACCCCAGAATTATCTTGACTGTCTACTTAAATCTCAGATGCATTTTAAGCCCCGCCCCCACTCCATCTCACAGTCTCCCCCCTCTCCCCCCGCCCCCTTTCTCTTTCTCTCTGACCTCAAATCCAACCAGAAGCATTTCTCCACTCTGCAGAGAAATTCTCAGGCTCCCGTAGAGACCTGAAACACTGAGAAGCCAAGAAATCTCTTGTGCGGCAGTATTGGGAGACAAGAAAATTGGAGAATAAGCAGGAAAACCATAAACCTTAAGAATAACGAGAAGCAGGCATTTCCAAACGTTTCAGTAGGTTTTCACCTTTATAAAAAGCGTTTTCTTTTTTTAAATTAAAATGTCTCCTGACAAAATGGAGTAGCTGCCGCTACTGAGAGGCCAGAGGATGATTGTGCAGCTGAGTCCTCCCAACAAATGCCAAAGATTTCCTCCCTCGTGGTTCGCTGCAGCTAAATGAAACAATTATCCTAGGCAAGAACGCGGTTTGCTAATCAGGAGGGACACGTCGGCGGCTTGTTTTTCTCTTCTTTCTTTCTTTTAAGTGCCTGAGCTGGGGAAGGGGAAGGAAGGGTCGTGAACGGTGTCTTTTTAACCTTGCTGAAGGACGCAGCAGTATTTATTGACGTATGCAAATAACTGGGGGAGGGTGGTGCTTGGGAAAAAACAGGAACCAGAATCAGTTTCTCATTGCAGGGTGGCCGCGCTGAGTTCCGGTGAAGGAAAAGAGACGTGGCGAAAATTGCTGTCTTTCTATCTTATAAGCACCCCTCTCACTCATACAGAGGAAGGCACCGAGACGTCAGAAAGGGTGAAGACGCTCTCACTGTATTTTTAGAGACCTGGCCCGAGCCCCCTCCTTCCTCTCCCCCGGCCGGACCTGTTCTTCTAATGGGAGATTATGGATTTGCATTGCAATTGGCTAGTGGCGGTGGCTCTGGATTTTCGCAAGTGAAACACCCGCCCGCTCAGTGAGGGCCATTAATGATCACACTGACAACAACGCTTCTCTTTCTCTCTCTCTCTCTTTCTCTCTCTCTTTTCTTCCCGTTTCAGCTGCGCAAACCATGCAGGATGATTTACTGATGGACAAAAGCAAAACCCAGCCCCAGCAACAGCAGCGGCAGCAGCAGCAGCCCCAGCCCGAGCCCAGCGCAGCCGAAGCCCCGTCCACGCCCCTCTCCTCAGAGACCCCCAAGCCGGAGGACAGTAGCGCAGTGCCGGTCCTGAGCCCCGCCGCGGCCCCACCGGCTCCCAACGGCCCGGACAAGATGCAGATGGAGTCGCCGCTCCTGCCGGGCTTGAGTTTCCATCAGCCCCCTCAACAGCCGCCGCCACCCCAGGAGCCCGCGGCCCCGGGCGCGTCGCTGTCTCCGTCCTTCGGCAGCACCTGGTCCACGGGCACGACGAACGCGGTGGAGGACAGCTTCTTCCAGGGGATCACCCCCGTCAACGGGACCATGCTCTTCCAGAACTTCCCGCACCACGTCAACCCAGTCTTCGGAGGCACCTTCTCCCCGCAGATCGGCCTGGCGCAGACCC